AAAGATATTGACCAAAAAACATCTGTGAGATGATGCACTGCCAAGTCCCCGGATCTGAATCACATTGTACACATTTGGGATTGAGTGTCAAAGCCCCCCTTCCACACAATTTCAAAGAGATTATTTTATGTGAATTTTCATTTTGAGGGTACATCATTTCCTTGACCTTTTGCTTAAAATTCTGTTGAGATATTTACATTAAATTTATGCAACATCAAACTGAAATATGCATTATTAACCCTGCATTAAGGAAATTATTTCTTATATGCATTTGTTCTTTAAAACTTACGAAATGAAAGGTGAACACTTAGAAGTTGGGTATAGTGCAGTTTCCAGAACAAATTCACATACACTAAAAGATATGTTTTGACTTCGTCAGTGTTGCAACAGCAGCTGATTTGTTAGAATTTGTTTATCTGAGAGGAAAATTTTATTTATAGAGAAATTTTTAGTCATCATTCAGAATATGTTGACCATGATGTATGCCAATCTTTATACTCCTATTGAAACAAGATATATTAAAAATGTTTGCGTTTTTCTGGGACAACCCTCGTATGTTTCTTTTTCTAGTTATTAAACTAATTAATAGGCCGGGGAAGGAATAAATTTCCAGCTAATAGAACTGAATTGTTTCTACAAAAATTATATTTGATACAGTCGAAAATGATACATTTAAGACCAGCTTATAAAGACAAATGGATTACATTATCCATACCACGTAGTGCATATTAGACTACTAAAATAGAAAAAAGGTGTGTCTACCCAAAACTTGAAAAGAAAAAAATTAAAGGAGCACTTCCAGCCCCAAAATTCCTGTATCACCTTCAGTTGAGAACTCGCTAACTACTATACACCTGTACGCTACAAAACACCTGAGAAAAGTGGCATTTAAATCATGTTTGTGATATGACTCTTAACTACAGGTAAATGGACTTGAAGCATGTCCCCCAAAAAATCGAATGTTGTGTCATTAAAGTGTTTTTTACAGGATAGTGGGTCTTTGCTCCATAATTTTGTTAACCAAAATGTGTAATTTTTACACAAAGTTTCTTTTTTCAATATGGAAAGAAGCTCCCACCTATATAGAAAAATGTCTTAAGTATGAGAAAATGGTTCAGTGAATGTATTTTATTTCATTGGTAAATAATTTCAATCTTTGTAAGAGTTTTGCAAATTGTGGAGCTTCTACAAAAGAGTTTTATGTTAGGTGAAATATGCACAGGTACTTGTGTCTGTAATAAATTTTTGACCTATAGTATAATAATAACACAAGGTATCTCACTCCGATTTACACCGAGTACCCCCTCCCTTAGAATCGCGCTCATTTACACTTTCAGAGGAAATGCATGGGTAGACTGTTTATACCTATGTCTTCTAAGATAATTTATCTACAAATATCTGACATTCTTGTCTTTATTTTCTTTTATCTCCGAAATCAGCTTCAAAACTCTGCTCGCCGAGTGGAAAGTAAAACTCAGTACTAGAATGGTATGTTCTAGTATCGGGCAAAGAATTGTACCTCGAAATTTCCTTTTCAAATCTTGTAAAACCATTCTTTATCAAGAATTTAGTACCAAACATACATAGCCATGCAGCAAGGCACGCAAGTTTGTTTTGGTCGAAGTCGAGCAGGTGCTTGAAAATCTAGTCCAAGGCCTAATCACTCCCCACACTTGACAGTATATAGAAAAATCAGCACACCCTAAAGTTTAATAAATCTGGTCAATACAGGAAGTTTACATGTTGTTTTTTATCTCATAAAAAATTCAGCTCCAGTCTCGTATCAAAATACTCGAATCGGAAGGAGAGATTCCGGGATTATTTGCGTCAGCTATGATTTGACGTGAACCAAAATGAAATACTGTTATGCCACAAATATTTCAATTATGCAGGGGTTTATTTACAGCATATTTTATCGATTCTTTTATTTATCACTAAAATTTAATAACTATATTTTGATGTATCCCTGTTTTGTTTGCAGAGTGAAAGGAGGGAACGGGAATTATAATTTTTGCTGGGGTATATCTGAATAATTTTTTGGTTAACATTTTTTTCTTTCATCTCAGCCGATCAATATCTAAAATAACTTTTTTTATACTTCACAACTCGAGTATGAATGACACTATACAAAATCACATACGAAGTTAAATAAAAGGCACATTTGCAAAAGTATCATAAACATATTAAACAATTAAATGGTGTGTAAATGATTACTACAAGAGAGATCCTACAGTGTGTGGCTGTAATAGAAGTATCAGAAATGCACCTTTATATGTTACACACCTCCTCATTAAATAACAATGATATTTATTCAACATTCTTTTACAATCAAGGACTACATACTAGATTAAATTCTTTCACAAAGAAGTGTCAAAGATAAACACGTTGTACACAATTATATGTAAGACAATTCACATTCAAATAGAAATTAAGACTCGGAGTATTCATGGTTTCTTTGATCTAAGAGGATACTGTAAAGTAAATACGTTGTCTTAATTGTAATCCGATCTAAAAAGTGTGATGAATAATAAACATGTTATAAAGCATTATCAGAAAAAGAGGGGAAAAATCTTAAAGACAAGCATGTTAACAGTGATCCATAACGTTCCTCGTCGATTCAAATTAACAAACTGTACACTTCTTCTTCTTTGCCTATTTACTGTGAAAACAGTCCTTGAAATTTTCCTTTGATTAATACATGTAAACAACTTATCTAATAAGTTTATATGTGCGTGTGATGTTAATTCCATAAATTCTCCTCTTCTTCTATGCCTATTTAGTGTAAAACAGTCCTTGAAACTTTTTTTTCTATTTATAAACAAATTATATAATAACTTTATAGGGTGTGATGTTAATTCTATAATTAAAATTTTCTTTCTAAGATCAAGTCACATTCAAAACAATTTTATTTACGTTTCCTCATGCTGCACAACCTCACCGCAGCTCTGCTCTTGCTGAGATAGAATCAAGTAAAATCAACAACATTGTTGTTATGAAATATGTCATTTATTAAAATGACGAAATAAGAAAAAATATAAACATAACATGACTGGGGATCAGATCTCCGCTCGCCGAAAATGAGGACTTCATTTGCGGCAAACCCATTTTCAGCACGACTTTGAAAAATTCGACACCAATTCTCCTTCTGTGAAGCCATTTATTTAAAATTTTTTCATATAACTTAAATTGTGTTTCTGGCTTATCAGATGAATTTTGTTTTGATTTACATGTATTCCGAGAAACAGATGCAATTGGAATAGTATTTAAAATTTTGTTTGTGTGTCGATAGACCATACCAGCATTCCTATAAATCAAAATAATACTAATCCAGTTTTAGAAGCTTCCAGTTTAAGTACAGATATAAACTAAAAACCCATAGAAAGTGTTTTATTCTCTCTGTAAACGGTCAAATATTTTTGTTTTTTGTTTCATTTTCTATCTCTATATGACTTCTTTATATATTTTCTATATGTGAAAATTAGAAAATTCTAGATATAGAACACTTAGAAAAGTAATTGATTTATCCTAAAAAATAAGAAAAATAAAGAAAATTCGCAATAGCCGAAATCCATTTTGTTAAACTATTTGTGTCAATTTGTCAATATCATTTGATAGAGCCTATATGGTTATATCTTTTATGCAAAAAAAAAATAATCTTTAGAAATAGAAGACCTTTTCGCATGATTGTATGCAGTATTTTTTTTTCCATTCTTGATGTCCAGGTAAAACGTATTGAACTTGACGTGACCCTGACTCTAATATAAAATGGTCAAAACTTATCTAACTTATATCATCACTTAGTGATATTGTCTTCTTAATTCTGTGAAAATTTCATTAATTTTTAAATACAAGAATCCTACCTATACTCGAAAACAAGGTCTTGTTTAACTTCTTTGTTCAAATCATGTCCCTACATGTATATTCTCTAGACAAGTGATACTGTCGTATATTTTTATGCAAATTCATTAGAATAGTATCAGAGGGATCCTAATAAATCAATTTATTGCAAAGATATAACACATGCAATTACACTATTAAATAGCTCTATATACTATTAGGTTTGCAACATTTTCACGGAGTACTATATATTGTGGGAAATAAATATAAATTTATGATTTTTAACATGTTTTGCCCTTTGCGATATTGACATTTATAGATGACCTAAATACTGCGAGTAGGTGTGCTGAAACATAATCAAGTCATAATTAGAGAAGAATTAAATGTAAATGTCCTCAATATGTAGATTTGAATCACATTACATTCGTCTGATATCAGTAAAGTCCTAAAAAGAATGGCCTATAATTATAAACAATGTATTTTTTAGATACATAAAAAAAATCGCAGATATTTCCATTTGTTACCTTAACTGTACTGAGTAATTTTCTTCCTCAAATAATCTATGCAGTGGATAATTAAACATTTCAAATTAACAATTTAATTGGACAGTTTAACATTTCTTATACCTTATATCTGATAATTCGCTGCAGTTTTGTATTTAGGTCTTAGAGTTTTCTATTTCACAATAGGGACAAATTGAGGGTCAATTTTTTTCAGGAAACACCTGCTTCGAAGAACTCCTCCTACAATTTTTTCAGTCCTTATCAAATTTTTGAATATGATCGATAATATCCTGTACATTTTGTAATCTGAGCTTATCATTTGTATTCTTTTGGGCAGTTTGAGAACATGATTATATTAAATTGCCTATGCTCTCTTTTTTACATAAAATCGCACATAAAAAAATCTTTTTAAAAACGTATGCTTCTCTTATTTCTTAATTAAAACTATTATTTGTTTTTCTTTGTAAAACCGAAACATAAGAGGCACATAGACTAATACACACCTGAGTGTTTTCTGTTTAATTTGATATAGATAAATGCATAAAACCCATTGTGTGGTTCTATAACTGATAAACCGGGAATAAAGGGAGAATGCATTCAGTGGAAACTTTTTTCTTTGAGGATATTTCTGTCTTTTGACGGCATTTGTTTACTACGTACTGAAGATTGCAGGTACAAAACCAGCTCTGGAAAGTCACTGTGGATATAACAATGAGCATTCTTTGTCACACAATGAGTGAACCTTGAAAAAAGTGTGTTTGGATTTCTAAAGTCTCGTCTAAAAGAACTGTGACATGCTTTGGTGATTAATGATTCTTTTAGGTGTTAACTCATACCAAGTCTATCTTTTTTGAGGTTAGTAAAGTATAAGTGTGTTTGAAACTGGAAGAGCGTCCTCCTAGAAATTCGATGCTCTTCAAGAAGACGTTGCGAACTTGGTGTCCATAAACTACATATATGAAAAAGGTAACGTCGTTTACTAGTCTGTTAATCTAATGTGTGATTTAAATATGAATAGGTACACGAGAGTAGCATTTTAACACTGCATCAGTACTCTGCAATTTATGATTGAGTACAATATTTTAAAGTTTTTTCAATACCCATGATTATGTCTATTTTTAAATTAATATATATTTATGATCTCTCCAATGACAAAAATAAAACAGAAAAGTCAAGTAATGTAATTCATTTATTAAACAGCGGAGCGGATAGTTGGAAAATATTTCACATGCAGATACAAGCAGCAAATTATGCATGGATGTTCTTTGGAATAAAGAAATATCGTTAGCCATTCACTTTTAGGCAATTTTCAAGGTGGCCGCCACTTATTTCAAATGGTGTCTGTTTTTATAACTTTTCCCTGATATTTTGAAATGTTTGTTGTGATATGTATGTTATGTTATATTTTTAATGTATTTATTAAGTTATGTAATATTTTTATGTCATGTGAAATAATAAAAGGTAACTTGGTATATGACATGCATGTAATTGGACCTCTATCTTATATAAACATACACTGCACATGTGCTTAGATAAAGAGCTGTAGCTGTTTAAAGGACATAACTAACTTAATCTTCTGAGCAGTTGCAGCTGCATAAAGCAGAAAATGCAGGTAAATGGAATCAGTAATGATAAATATTCCCTGTAAAGCCTTAAATCTGATGCTCTATACACCTTATAAAGGAGGGGATAAGGATTGTTAAATTTAAAATTCCCTACCGTAAACCACTGAAGATTTCATGTGGTGATATTACACGTACCGCGGGGACTTTGATTTTTTGCGACCATTTGGCGTACCATAATGTTGGTATACATTTTGTAGGTTTGATATGATGCTTTGGGCAACATTAAAACCTCTTGCAATTATAATAGTATGTGGCACACCTTCTTTCGGTCCCCCAATTTCCTTTTTCTTATACCAAACATTCAGAGAGATCCCGGAGATCTTTTTTTTTTTAAAAGTGTTAATTATAGGAAAAACCTTAAATAAAACATCGAGAACCCCAGCTTTTGATGGACTTTTTGTATCAGAAAGTAAGGCATCATTAAAAAAACAAAGGAATACCGCGAGAATATTAAATTTTCTAAAAGCAGGTCTTTTCGTTCAATGAGATTGGTAGAAGAAATGTAAAATTAACAATTACATTAAAACCCCATTTTTACTGATTGAAATTATACCAATTTTTAAAAATGTGTGACAAAACTGTCTTATATTGAAGCATTCGTCCGACAAGAGAAAGAAATACATATTTCTCATACAAAACAAAATAATTAAGATATAATAAACAATCAATAGATAATACAGATGTCATTTAAAAGAAATATTTTGGATTTTAAGCTTAGTATTGTCAAGATTATAAACTTGAACTCGAAATGGACCCCCCCCCCCCTCTCCCAGTATTTCTCAATCTTTGGTCAAGACAATTTAAGAATGTTAAGAAACAAAGGGAAGATTAGAAAGGATTCTGTAATGATGTATAAATAATATTAAGATGACATTTAAACAATTCCTTCATATAACTAAAGTCAAGAGTGAAATATCTTAAAATACTTAAAAAGATCGATATATCATGACTAAAGTTTTGATGAAGTATTAGTTCCAATATAATGAAAAAAGAAGATATCGATGATGCATGGCCATGAAGTTTTGTTACATTATAACAAAGGTATTCATTGTTCATTTGTGTCTATTTCATTTTATCCTAATCAAAAAAAGCAGCATGCTTATAATTTTGTTCCACTTTATTATGGTTGATTATCATTCTTGAATTGAATCTTATATTGTCTGCTCTAGATATCTCTTGCAGATAGCTTCAACAATCCTAACTTTTATCAACTTTACAGTGATGATCAGTACCTAACTTATCAGTGCAATCGTGTTTTATGGACGTCAACGAATAGTCGACTATCA